TATTTCCACGATATTTTTAGAAAAATAATATCCAAGTAATTTTCGCAGGCAAAATATTCAAAAAACAATAAACGCATTAATGCAAAAATCAGTTTTACTTCCTTTTTCGATTCCGCGATTGTAATGAAATCGTATAATGAGAAAAAATAATAAAATCGTTTTATTATTAATTAATAATTTTCTTATTGTACTTAATTAATTAAGAAAATATTAAATATTAAAAAATACAGTATTTTTAAAGTTAAAATAAGATTAAACTAGCGAATACCAAAAGCAAAGTGATGTAGAGATATAATGCGCTTGTATATTGATGGCGTAATACACGTAACTGAGAAGCGAACGAAAAGAACCGAGTCGAATTAATTAAGTCGGAAAAAAGAAAATGTGCATTATAATCGAGAAAATGCGAATATTGTATTAATCTTTATTGATGTTAAATCTGTCTTATAATATCATGACGACTCCTGTAAATCGGGTTATCCGATAAGAATAAAATACAATACCAATATAGCCATACCGTTGAAAAAATTCGCTTATTTTTGCTCACCTCGAGTTTTGCTTAGTAGAAATGGATAAAAAGTGCGCAAAATACGTACGGAAATAAGGTATTACAGCACCACCTGTATTGGACGACCACCTGTCTAAAAGACCACTTTTTGAAGGAACCGTGGGTGGTCGCCATAGACAGGTTTTACTGTATATATATATATTTATTTATTTATTTTTATTTGCATTAATAGTAAACAAAAAGCAACAAATTTATTAATGACTGTTATGAGATATCAATTTAAATAATTTATTTCTATTTAAATATTTTATCTTCTGCTTACAACAATGTTTCTTGAATATTTTATAATTATGTTTTAACTTATAAAACATTTTCTCAGCTTGGTTTAGGATGTTCAAATGATCCTGTTGTTAAGGAAATAAAATCGATTTTTTTAGCATTTCATATTCATAATAATTAAAAGATCTTTTCTTACAAAATATTTTATTTCTCATAGAAAGCACATACCTTAGTATGTGCTTTCTATGATGTGACTAATTAAATAGATTAATTCTAGTTGGTTTCAATTTCTTTTAATTAATAAGGATTTCCATCACAAACAAATAGATAAAGTTTTAATTAAATTTAAAAATAGTAAATATTAATGGAAGTAGGTAAATGTGAAGATAAAAATATTAGGTTGTTCTGAAAGTAAGTTCATTTTTTTTACCACTAGACGGATTAGTCGTATTTTTCCCGCTATTTTCATTCTAAACCGTATTATCATTATATATTTTGACAGCTAGCATTTTAAGGCTTATTTGTAAAAAATTTTGTTTGATTTTGTGCAATTGTTTATTTTTTGTGTTCCATCAAATATGGAAGATCAAAAGCAGCATTTTCGGCATATTTTGCTCTTTTATGACCGAAAAGGTAAGAATGCTGTTCAAGTGAGAAAAAAATTATGTGATGTGTATGGAGATGATGCATTAACAGAACGACAGTGCCAAAACTGGTTTACAAAATTTCGTTCTGGCAATTTCAATATTGAAGATGCACCACGTTCTGGATGGCCAATTGAAGCCAACGAAAACAAAATAAACAGTTCAATATGACAAATTTAATCTCTTAGTGATTTCACGTGTTGTTATTCGGCAGTTTTCTTCAATCAGTACCTTTATGATTACTTGAAACAAATTGGTTTTGTTTCAAAGCTTGATATATGGGTTCCACATGTTCTTAAAGAGAGATGCTCTCTTTGGTGGGATTTTAAGGAAATTTTGTTTTGGAGCTTTTACCAGACAATTTAACAATTGATTCGAAAGTGTACTGCCATTGAGTAAACAAATTGACTAATATCATCAAACAAAAAAGGCGGCAAGAATTGATCAACAAAATAGGTGTAATGTTTTACCACAATCATGTCAAATTTCATACAAGTTTGGTAACTGGTCAGAAACTGTTATAACTTAGATGGGATGTGCTATCATGCCAACCATATTCTCCAGATCGAGCATACTCAGATTATTACTTGTTCTGGTCTACACAAATTTTTTTTAACTGTAAGACATTTACTTGAAATGACAATGTCAAAAATCACTTGGATCAGTTTTTTGTAAGCAATGATCGAAACTTTTATGAATGTGAAATCATGCTACTACCAGAAACAATAACAGGTATTTGACCAAAATGGTTGATATATAATTCAATAAAATATTTATTTATTATAAAAATATTGTTTTTTTCCACAGAAAAAAAAACAAACTTACTTTTCTCTTTACATCATATAAGCATTTTAACATTGTGTTTAACATTTACTATTGGGTTGTTTGAAAAGTATTTGTATAAATAACACAGCATCCACAAAGTGTTTTAATTACCCTATTAGAAAAGTTATATGATTTGTTAGTCAGCTCTTAATTTATTAATTATCATCAAGTTATACTAACATATTCTTAAATAAAACTTCAAAAGTTCTATAAGAATAATTACGCTTAAAAATTAATTTTTGTTATTCTTCATGTCAGTAATTCAATGCTGAATTTTGCAGTTTCTTGTTCTGTCTGGCTCTGTTATGAGCAACCTGCAATCCACAAGATCCTAATATATGAGCCCTAGGGCTCATGTAATGTAATTTTATTTTTCTGTTTTCTGCAACTTTAATTAAGCTGATATTTGCATTGAACATTCAAACTAAATGCAATCAGTGAAAAGATGAGAATAAACTACATGTTATTAGTTTGCATGTCGTTAGTATATATTATTTTAGTATCTAGTATACAGGCAGTTATGGTGTGTGTTGGTACTCAGTAGAATTCATCTATTTTTGCACTAGACAAACTACTGGCTTTTAATGATATTTTACATATGCAAGATTTATTTTCCAATTTGTTATGTGCATGTAAGTAAATTTTTCTTTTAACTGAGTTCATTCTAGACAGGGTTTACTGTATTGAAAAATAATCAATATAATTACTTGATTTTTCATATCCATTTTTTCTTCAATAACAGTGAAGCAACTACCAAAATTTCCATATGTCTTCACTTTTATCTACTTCCATTAAACACTTATGTGATGCACACTGTTTCAACTTTTTTACCATGTACATGTACAAAATACAACTCACTTGGAGAAGAAGCAGTTCTAAATATGTAAGTTTTTTTCAATGAAGAAAAATAGAAAATTCTATAGAATGGAATGTTCTAGCAATTGTGTTCTGTTTTAGACAGGTTTTACTGTATTTTAAATATGGATTGTGATGTTTATAAAAAGGTGTAGGTTATTTTAAGAAATGGTAACTTTTTTAAAATTATAATTGAAACAGGATTATCACGCTTCTGTCTTCATAGAAGTTCCTTAAAAATGTACTTAAATCGTTTTCTGATTTTTAAAGTACTTAATTTTTGTAAAAATTTTTAAAAAGTCACATGTCTATAACCAAATAAGATTGAATTTAGTCTCCTACAGTTTTGTCATATTAAGCCTAAAAATTTATTTAAATTTAAATGTTAGAAGACTTATTATACAGCCTTGCACTTTCAGCTAGAATTGATGATACTAACAAAGAATTAGTATTTCTTGGGGAAAGGCATTGTAATTAATGTTGGGTAATCTTGTGAAATAAAAATGTTCTTCTAAACACTATATAAATAAAGAAAGAACTAGTTCAGATTCATTTCATACAAGTATTATTTGGCATCACAGATTATTTGGTATGAAATTAATTCCTACCAAGTTTGTTATTATTAGATCTTTTTCTAACCTTGATTTAGTCAAGAATAAGAAAGTCCAATAGAAAGGAAACCAAATAGATCTTACATCATCTCTTTTTAAAGTATAGTGATAATGGTCTTGTTTATTATAATATAGGAAGCATATTTAAATTAAGTTGTTAAAATTCAGAATTAGAATATCAGAAAGACAAAGAAAAATAAAATTAACACTACTACAGCTGAAGAGAGATTAAATTATCCCATCAAGCAGAGTGATTAAGTTAATGCTACTGGATTAAAATAGGATTTCATTTAGAATTGTTGATAATTGCTAATAAAGATCCAATGAGATAAATTATTATAATTAATATTGAAAATTTAAGAGTCATTTTAATATTATTTTAATTATTGTAACAGCCTTATTTGTAATTTATGAGGATAGAGTTGTTTGCTAATTTAATCTAATTTAATTTACTATCAAAGGCACTGTCAGGACTTTAAAAGAAAATAAAATGTTTATGAAGACATTATTTAACAATAAAATAAACTTTTATTGAAATTTCTATCCTTAAAATGAAAGTTGGCTTTTTCTATGATGTATAGAATAAAAATTAGATTCTGTGACAAGAATGTCTGAATTAAAATTAAAAAATTACAATGTTAATATATTGATTTTTCCATACAGATTGCTCTTAAAATCAAATATTTTAATTTGAATTTATATAAAGGTATATGAAAGAAAAACTGTAATACTTGAAACAATTTAAATTTTTAAAAGTTAATAAATGTCATTTCTGCTGTAAAATTAAAGTAGATTTAGGAACAATGATGTCAAAGTAACAGCTTATCTCTAGAAATAATCCTTAAAAATAAATATAACTGATCAAATTCAAATGCAGACGAATGCTATGTAAAGATTAAAAATATTGATCTTCAAAGCACTCTATAAAGTAATGTATAACTAAGTTTGTTTCTTTGTATGCTACTATAGCTTCAAATAATTATTTTGTTGAATTTTGCATTGGAGTATTTTAAAAATTTATATATGATTGCCTAGCACCCAATACTTTTACTGTAACTTTCACATTGTCCTCTTATAATATTTATAGTAATTTCAGTGATATCAAGCAAAGAGAAAAGTTAAATTACATTTTATTTTCATGAAAATTCATTCTTTGTTTGTTGTTTTCAGTGGATGTTTTAGATGTAAATGCTGATTTACAAGAAAGAATGGGCCAGAGAGCTTTTCCTAAAATCAGAACATTCAAAGTACCTACCAAGGGAGGATATAGTAAGTTGAATTCTTTTCAATGATTAAATAGTTGGAGCAATAATTCAAGATTTATTGTGCATGTCCATTATAAAATTAAAACGTTTCTGTTAAATTGAAACATTTCATTATTTTTTATTTCTGCCTTTAAAAATAAATCCTTTCAAATTCAATATTATAGTAAAATCAAATATGAAAATGATATATTATTATATTCAAATTCTAAGTTTCAACTATAATTCTGTTATTTTTTCATGTACTGCAAGTCCTCACTTAACATAAGTACAGTACAGTACAGTACATCTGTAATGAAACAATATTTTTTCTCAACATCATCATCATCATCATTATAAATGATCATAAACATTAATTAAAATTGATTTTATGAGATGGAAAATAAATGTTGGAAATTGCAAAAACAATCCAATAAGAATAACAATAATCAAATTCTTTTATTAAAATATAACTAGTATAATTTATATTATACTTTTTGCCTTTCTCAAATAATGTTAACCTATATCCACATCAAAACCACACAAGACATCATTTAATGTTGAAATAAACATGTCATGTTTCGATTTACCATTTTAAATTTATATTTTACCCTCTATACTTGGAATCATTATTTGTTTGTTTTTTAACTGAAAGCTGTAATAATCACCTAATACCTTGCAAACACTTTGCAAACATTTATTCTTCATTAATCATCCCTACTCATTTCCAGTGATGAGGAGTTAGCCTCTCACCCACCAGTATGACCACTGATTTCCAATATATATTTAAGAAAATTACTTTACTGGTCACTGAAACTTCTAAATATAACATTTATTTCAATGAATACAAGTAATATTCCACAGAAATTTAAGCTAATTGATGTTAAAATTGGTTTTGTTATACATCAAACTTTTCAAGAACATATTAAATACATACAAGTCTAGCTTAAAGTCATTAACTATAGAAAAATAAAATTTATTTGTTGTTTGTTTAATTATTACTTAAAAATTATTAATAATTGAACATTTTTAAGTTCCTGAATTTATATACAGTGGAACTTGGTTAAGTTGAATCAGTGAGAGAAAAAAATTCTGACTTAGTTAAAAGTTTTGAGTTATGGAGGATTGGCAAAAAATCAAGGTTTTGTGCATTGGTTTATTAGTGACCTATAATAAACTATTCATATTATATTTTTGTGGGTTTTATTACTTAGAATTATTGTAAATGTGAGAAATTTGAAAACACTTAACCTTTACTAAACAATGAGGAGTGAACAGATTGACTATTCAGTTGTTTTAAATTGTGATATTTTGAGCCTAGAATCGATCTGTTTTTTAATTTTTTTATCATAAACACATCACTCTTTACAATTGTTATATTTTTTAAATTTTTCTGCAAACGTTTATAGTCCAATTCTATTGAAATTTTCATAAATTTTTTAAAATTAGTTTGTCAAAAATCCATTTTTTTATTTATTATATCAGTAATCAAATAAAACAAAGTTAAAAAAAATTCTACCTTTGAGTTTAATGTTGTTTATTGTGATAAATCTTGAATTACATTTATTGTTTATGTGGATTACAAAATTAAAATGTTTCTGTTAAATTGAAACATTTCATTATTTTTTATTTCTGCCTTTAAAAATAAATCCTTTTATTATGTTTTGTGCATTTAAATCATTATCTTTCAATGCTCAATTTTTAATTGTTTTTGAAATCTTTAAAAATAGCAGGTTCAAATGGTAGTTAGAGTATCTAGGTTATACACACAATCTGGAAAGCACCATTCTGCCTGACACAATGTTTAATTTTAGTCATCTATGGTTCCCTCACTTCATAGAAAGTTTCCAATTAGTATATTTGATAGATGAATGTTAATTATTTTATTTAATTGAAAATACTGTATCAAAACCCCATTTAAGTTAAACAGTTTGATTTAACATGTAATATGATATGATATTAAATTAGGGTTAGAAAATGGCTTTGGTTTTTGTTAAGCAGTATAAAAGATCAGAGTAACTTGAAATTGCATTTATTCAAACTCACTAGTCAATTTCATTGGGCAATTAAGAAAAGATAATCTATATTTTATAAATGTACATTAATATTGTTACAGTGCTGCTTTAGAATAAATTCAGTTATCAATTGGTATAATTTGTAGTTTAACAATATTAGTTGTTAAAATTATCAAAATATATTTTTCATCAGATTTTTTTAAACCTATTTTCAAAGTAAAAGGAGTTAATCAAAATGTCAAAAACATACTCTTATCAATAATAATTATAGTACTAGAATAAATTATCCAAATTATATGTTTGGCAGGAAAGACTACTGAACCCCTATTTATATAAATACATAACTACAGGTAATACAAGAACACTATAAATGTGATTGAAGAAGAATGTTAATAAAAAAAAAAGTATGACATTTCTACTTAATGAAATGTATTTCAAATTAGTGAGGCAAGATTTTTTGGTCCTTAGAGTAACTAAACAAAACAAGATACACAGATCAATTAAAGATTTTAATAAACAAAACAGTGTCTTTATTTCTCTTGAACCTCTTAGTAAATATAAATAAACAATGTATTAAAAGCATTATGATGTAATGTAGAGAGTAATCTAAATTCATTATTAATGACAAAAATTTTTTTTTAAATTTTCAGTTAATGGTTTTCAAATTGGGAGTGTTTGCTTCCTTAGTTGGACATGCAAGCTCTTCTAGGAGGCAGAAAAAATTATTATTATTACTGTTATTTTTCAGTATAATTCCTGTACATATTCAATATTCTATCCATTAGTTCTCAAACAGTATAGCATTAACGTTTTCTTCTAAATTAAATTTGATTTTGATGACGTTTTTCATTAACATTATTACATTTATGTATAAATGGACGTGTGTGTGCCTATATTTCACTCAACAGCCAAAACTACACATCGCACATGAATGGTGTTTGTGTGTGGTAGTAGCCCCAAGTCTCCCATCGTGCACCATGGTGGTTGTGTCTCGATAGCTATAAGGGTGCGGGAGATATGGGGCTGAAAGTGGTTGACTTCAAAAATGTGTAACAATGGAAGTGTTAACAATGGAAATGTTGAGTAACAAAGGAAGTGTTAAGAGAAAGCGGCATGCAAGATTTACAGGCGCAAATGCTGTTTTTTTTCGTTTTGCGGGAAATCGAACATATTTTTAGACCCATGTAAAAATTCTCTAATTAGTCTGGAAACGGGGGGACCTAATTCTTGCATTCTGTTTAAACAGGTAAGATTGGCTATAATGTAATCTTAACCTTAATCTTAAATGTTTTGGAATAGTCGAGGACCGTTATGTGTGAGTAGTGGGAATGGCTTTTGGAGACAAGTGAAGTACATGCTTCAGTTGATTTTTCATAAGTAAAAGTGTACAAATAACAGAAAAAAGTGAAAAGTAAAAATATACAAAACAATGCCAAAGCGTAAGAAAGAATTTTTGCAGTCTCGAATCATATCTCAAAGGCAAAAAATGGCATGGAGAAATGAAACCACAGAAGAAAGAAGTACAGCTAACATTGCTACGAGAAAATTATCAATGAAACAGAAATAATCAGACAGAAGAGCAACTTGAAAATTATAGGGAAACACATCGAATCAGAGAGAAAGTATGTCGAGGAAAAGAAACGGTCTTTTATATATATAAAAAAACTATATTACATATAAATGTACGAACAAATAAAAAGGAAATAAACACTTCTTTAAAAAGCTTGCAAATCACTAATTTAAATATATAAAACTTTTATGTTCATTTACATAGTAGAAATCCTACAAAAACAATTTATCATTAACAATAATAAAACAACAAATCGTGTTTCCTAGCATTGAATCTTTAATTCAACTGTTTTAATTATAAGTTTGTTTTTAGATATTATTTAATAACACTTAATTTTTATATTATAGAAGCACAAGTTCGACTTTTCCTGCCTCCTGGTTTAGAAGATGACGAAGCATTGTTATATCCACTTGTTGTTCATGTGTAAGTATAGACTGTCTGTAATAGTGTATAGTTGTTGTGACTTAATGATTGTTAAATACAATAAAAAGCAAGCAGGCATTAAAGATTCAGTACTGAAAGAAATAATAATTGATTATATCAGTATCTGGCAAAATAGTTTATAAACAATCTGTAATTGTGTTATTCCTCATAAAGACTAAATACTTTTTATGAAAGATAACACAATTACTTTTGTTTCTTTGGAATTGTATCTATCAGCTGACAAGAAAATCACAGCTATTATGTTGATAGCATCTGCTGCATGCTCAGGGTTTGATTCATTAAACATAGAAGATATTAGAAAAGGCTAAACATCCAAAGCCATTTCCACAGAGTTAATCTCCAATAGGAACATTTGTACAGTACCTGTTTGACAAAGTTTGACTAAGATTACAATCACTGCAGAGCCCTCCATCCACAGACATGACTAATCAACTTTGTGAAGCTTCAGATTTTGTAAGAGCCAACACAGCATTTGAAGTTTTTGTTTAAAGTCAGCCTGCAAAAAGCAATATCTGACAATATGTAAAGTTTCAAAATATCCCCAAATAAATGTTATCAAACCAGAGTCCAAGAAGTTTTAGCCTAATAAAACTTTTATTGACATAAATTTAATACAGTCTTGATTAGTTGACCTTAGATCTTAATAAAAATAGTCCTGTGATATATGTTTTATAGAACATACTGAGATTACATCAGTCCTTTTCAATATAAGAACTACAAGGAGCTAAAATTAGTACCATTAGCAACACAAATTTTTGTTACCATCCTGTATATACATCACTAATTGGAAAGAAAATCTAACATTGTAAATTACTGGATGCTTATTAAGTTTATAGTGCTACTCAACAGTAAAAACCAGAGGGATTATATATAGTCATTGTTGCTGCTCAGGTCTCTCAAGGTCTTTTTCTGAGTTACTCACCTGGTCACTTTTTATTAAGGTTTAAAAACTTTCCATTTTGTCACCTGCATGTTCACAAACCTGATAAAGGGGTTTTTCCTTGCAATGATCATCCTATGTAATTCCAGCATCAAACATGGCTTGTTGGACAGAAAGGAATTGACTGCAGTTGAGGCCATGGAGTGTCCTAGTGGCATCTGATTATTTCTTAATTCATAGCAAATAGATATTCCTACGGGAAAACATATCTGGAAGCCATGTGGTTATATAAAATCAGTCTCCCTGGCCTCCATTGAGACTTAATCTCTGAATGAGCTTTATTTTCCTCTAGATGATAATTTTGACAGTTATGAAATACCAAGTATTCAACAGGCTACACAATTGCTTCCTGGCTAGAGAATGGAGCAGTTGGCATTCCTTTAAATACTCTTCCGAATTCTGTAAGAAGTCAGAAACTTTAAACTCGAGGCAATGCTGGTTGACTATGATATGGAAGCTTTCACACCAATTTTTAATCATAAATAAATTATACATTCTTATACAATTTTATTAGTATATATTGATTACTTTTTATTAATGAATAAAACTAATAGAATAATAATATACAACTACTTCTACAGATTACTGAAAATTATTTATTCATATAAAAAATATTTTCAGTTTTGCTAGAGCCAGTCTATTCTATAACCTGTTCCTTTTTGGAACAGCTTATAGAATATTTTTTATAGAGCCATCATTAGCAAATTTAAAATCTTAATCTTTTTGATTGAGATTTTAAATTTGCTAATGATGGCTCTATAAAAAATTTTTTTGTTCTACTGAAACCGAAGCAGCTGTTATTTATTATTATTATTATTTTATTAATATGGTTCCAAGTTTCATAAACTTCAACAAATATACTAATACTTAATAAACTTATCAATATTTATCAATGAATAAGAATTTAATGTAAAATTTTGAATTATATTAGATATGGTGGTCCAGGCAGCCAACTAGTATCAGAAAAATTTTATGTACATTGGGGAACTTATCTAGCAAGTAGAAAGAATTATATATATGCATGGATAGATGGAAGAGGAAGCGGATTTCAGGGTGACAAGATGGAGCATGAATTATTTAGACGTTTTGGCACAGTAGAAGTTGAAGATCAAATAGAAATAACAAGGTTCATGTTATATAAAATTTTCTATTAATATATTAATAGTAGTTATAATAGTTATATAGAAAACCAAGCTCAAATTAATTATTTTAATAATCAAAGGAAAAAGCTAGATTTATTACTGGGCTTTAAATTGTAATCTGGTATTAAATTTAATTAGCCAAGTTGATCTTTAATTAGCCTTTAGTCAAAATTACAGCCCAGTAATGAATCTGACTTTATCCTTAATAAGCACAAAATAAATGTTCTTAATTAAATTTGTAAAGAAAAGTAATGTATGAAATTTATTTTTTGAAATGTTTTAGGTATTTAAGAGATAATTTGCCATTTATAAATCCATCTCATATTGCTATTTGGGGTTGGTCTTATGGTGGTTATGTAGCAGCTACTGCATTAGCTGATGAAAATACAGTATTTAAATGTGCAATATCTGTAGCTCCAGTTACAAGTTGGCAGTATTATGGTAAGAAATGAAAGATATTTACATATTATTATTTAATTCTTTGAAAATTTTAATGTCTATATTTAATTTTGTTTTAATTGGAATGTTTAGATTTTTCTGTTTTTAGACATTTTATTTTCAAAAGTTAATTTACAAATATAAAAAAAAAATATTGTAAATTTTTTGTAATATGATAAATATCTAAAAAGTTGAACATGCAGAATCATTCTGAAACTTTTTCCTTTTAAACAATATGTTGAATGATTGTAGATCACTGATTCCCAACATAATGAAGTTGCTTGTCAATGGAGCATTATATAAAATATACACTAAAACACAAATTTAATTTAATTTCATTATTAAAGATTAATTCTTTCTTTAATGTGAAATGTGTTTGTCTGTTTTGAACTAATTTTCAATGCTTAGTTTAAGCTTCAATGGTAATTGGAAGTTGTTACTACCGAATCTTGTAGTAACATAACTTCCAATGCTTTTATATTATAACTTGCTCTTTTAAAGAATAGTTGTAATTTTGTAATGTATATATTAATTTATTTACTTATTTATAATTTAAATTATATATTTAAGTATATGTTTTTTATATTATACTAGCTGTTACCTGCGGCTTTGCTCGCCAGGATTTTGCAATTTGATAGAAATAGCCCTCTCTCAGTACTTCACTAAGATTCTCAATCATTAGTTGCTGCTAATTTGGTAAAATTACTGATTTTCGTTTGTTTCAAACTATCGACTGCTAATGCATCTAAATTCAAGTTTCAAATGTTATGGGATCCCGAGATATGATAAATCTGAGTTTAATTTTTTTTCGAAACATAAATGACGTTATATGTAAATATATAAAAAACATAAATAAATTTATAAATTTATAAATACTTACAGAAAAATAGAGTTTCAGTTACCCCAGAACCTCTTTGTAAACCACATTTGCAGTACAGCCTTTCAGGGCTAAGATGGCCAGACTATTTGCAGAGCTTACTCTGGAACATGCAACATAGAACTGTCCATGAGAAGAAACAGTCTTCACTCAAGTCGATGCAGGCCATTTTCAGTGACTGTCCTTGTGATTTATTAATAGTCATGGCAAAACACACCTTGAGAGGGAACTGTGTTATCTTAAATTCGAACGGGTATTCTTGGGATAAAAACTCTCTCTCCCCGAGCACATCCAGTGATCACTGTAACTTCTACAATGTTCTTATGCAAAGCTTTTACTTGTAGTCTTGTACCATTGCATAATTTTGATGGATTAAGATTTCTTAATAACATTACTGGTGCTCTGACTTTAAGAATGAGTTTATGTGATGGCAGACCAGGAGGATTCAGAATATTAAGAAATTCTATCGGATAGTGGACAGCATCGTCCGTTTGGATCACTGAATCAAAAGACCTGTATTCAAGATCTTGAGCTTCGAAGGCCTTTAATAGAATATAATTGATTGCAGCTGCTTTATTGTTTCTTGGAGTTAAGATAGCACTCTCGCCCAACTATTCTGTGGGCTTCTTTTTGATGTTACTTATATCAGGATATATTTTAGAAGTTAGCTCTGATAAGGAGGTAACTATTGTACCCAAATCTGAAGGGATTGTGATTTTACCTTCCAGTGAAGGGTAATTTCCATCTCCTATTTTTAGTAGCACTTCAGCGAAAAGCCCAGCGGATGTATTACCACTTAAATGCACTCTCATATTGTATTGGAGTGCAAGTTTCCGGATATGTGGCCACAAATATGAAGTCTTTAAGCATGCTTTTACTTCATCTGCCCATGTACCCCTAGGTATGACGGGTAACGTTTGCCGAAAATCTCCAGCTAACAGCACATCAAGCTATTGTTTTCTCTTATGTCTTTTAATGTTCTACTGAGAGCTTCGAATCTGCTCTTATGGGCCATTGTGCATTCATCCCAAACTATTAGTTTACAGTCTTTCAAAACTTGTGCCATGTTACTCTGTTTTGAAATATTACAGATAGGTTCTGATCAGCACTGCATCAAGTTCAAGGGCAGTTTGAACACAGAGTGAACCTTTCTACCTCCTTCCAGCAATGTTGCAGCAATGCCTGAAGAAGCAACAGCCAATGCTATCTGGCGATCTTTTCTCACTCAGGACAAAAATGTCTTACCGGCGCTGCCAGGAGCGTCTAAGGAAAATGTTTGACCAGTGCCTTTTTTGATGCTTTCTAAAATTTGGCTATAAACGTGAGACTGTTCGTCATTTAACAAATTTTCATTAGTAGTTACAATCTGTACTAAAATATTTGAGTCATAGCTCATCTCTCGGAGATAGTCTGTATTTTGTAACACTTCATTACATCTTGATGGCTGAGGTAAACCATACTGTTGTAAGCATTGGCCTCCTAAAGACAGCACTGTATCTTCAAGATACACCAAGCATTTATTGTATACTTCATTTAAAATTAGATGAACATCTCTATGTTGTAACTCTAACTTCACTTTGTGCTGTATATCTTCCGAAAGGGTATCTTTATATTTCTCCCAAAGATTTGAAGCATCTGACAATTGACAAAACATCAACATTACTGCAAAAAGTTCACATAATCTAAACAGAGATTCACAAAGCGCAGCTTCTATCATAATTGCATCCCAGTGCCTTTCGTCTTCTAGCAAGCCTAGAACCTTACATGCAGACTGGTATGTGGGTTGAATTGTACCATTAACCGTTTTCAATTCTATGAAAGATGTAGGGCCTCGGATTTCATGTAGTAAAAGGCGAAGATAATAACACTCAGTATTATTAGGGTGGATGGTATATACCCTGCCTAAAGTCTGATCTTTTTTTACTCCCGGCCAGCCATCGACGTCATTACCATGTTTTCTTCTCTCAAATCTGTTATTTTTCCATACATAGAAAGAGGGAACTTCAACATAAAGAAGTGTTTTTGCAAAATTATCGGTTTTGCATAAGTCAAAAAATGCTGTAAGCGTAGTTTTTACTGGATTGTTAACAATATTTGTTAAGTGATTGGCGTCGTTTGGGTTAAAATAGACTCGCTGGCTATTTTCCAAATGCACAGTGAGATGAAAAACTGGAGGGAACTTCTCATGGATGGGTAAAGCCAGAATTCTCCATACAGCCTCGGAGCTGCTGATGTATCGCCCACTTTCATATAGTTCGACTTCGTCCTTTTCATTTTTAAGACTAAATGTTGCTTGATCACTCCCTTTGTTGACATATTTACATATGTATTTTATAGATTTTACAGAGTTACAGTACTCCATGTTAATATGAGCACCGAAAGTACGTGAGAGCACAGGGTTATATGGCACTACCCAACGGTTATCAAGGGTCACACCATTGATTTCAACAGTGAAACCACCATCTCCTGGGGCTCTTCGTCGATACTTTGGGCATCCGTCTTCTCCTGTTTGAGTTTCTTGAAAGAGAGGTTGAGGAAACTTCTTAGTGCAGCTACCTTCTTTCATACAGGGTAATCTGTTATTTAAATTACCGCAAGGCCCGTTTATCATATTGCCTTTTATAATTTCATGAAGGAGAGGATCTTTCGCAGGGTCTGGTATCTCTGCACAAATAATACTATCTAATTTATCTGGAGAAATACATTGCTGTAGCCACAACAAAATGTGTAAATGAGACAAACCACGCTTTTGCTATTCAACAAAATATATAAAACAAATTTCCCTTTGTTAGCAGTCATTAATGACTTAACTTTTAAGTGAAATACCCTAGCAATGATATCATGATGATCATGAGGCTTTTGTCCAGATAGTAATGCATTTTTAATATCATTCCATGAAGGATAACATGTAAATGTAGTGAATAAATCAGGACGACCATAATAGCAGACGTATGTCATGGCATCTTGAGTCTTTTCATGCATATATCATGGTGACCCAGTGAAAGATGACAGAAACACTACCATCTGACCAAGCTGAGCGACATCGGTATCTTGTATTCCTATAGCATCTCTGAGATGTATGTAACTATCGACTTGGAGTTGTGCCTGGTTGTTTCTGATAAAATTTAATCGCTCTGTCTCAATTTTTGCATACATATCAACTAAGTATTGACTGAAGAGAGATCGACAATATAATAAATGGTTGATTTCTGTTTGTCTGGTCATGATGCGGTAAGAATAAAAGTTCATTGCAGAAACGGTTTTTTGAAGAGGTAACTTTGTTTTCGGGTCAATGTGGGAGATGTCAATGGAGTAACCATTAACCATCCTCACCTCAACAGAAAAGTATCGGGTATTGCAATGCATTGTATGAACGATGAACTTCACTAATACGTTGTAATTTGTTGTCATGACTTTGTAATACAATATCTCGTTTTTCAAACTGCTGTCCAACTATGACCAGAGCTACTTTGCTTGCCGTCAGTGCATTAAAATGTCCTCTATGAGCATTGGCTGGTTTCCTATCAGCATGAATTACAACTAAGTTTTTACAATTGTGAGGTACTTTTTCAAGAGCAGTTTTTAAATCTTTTAAGTATGGGTTATAGTAGTGCAACATCACCTGTAATTGTTTTATCAGACTCTTTTCACATCAGAGAAGATGCTGCATCTTAAACTTGTCTCTCTCTCATCCTCTCCAACAAAATAAATTTGTAAGAATTGAGGGGTTTTTTGAGGTAAAGGTTGGAGACTACCAATTAAGTGATACACCTGACCCTGCACTTTGAAAATAGGCATAAATCTGTCTTCTATAACTTGTTTTGCTCCAAAAGAAGTCATTTGGAAGCAAGCATTATATTTCCTAATGCAGTCCATAAAATGAATGTGCTCAGGATGCAGGCCCATGAGCAAACTATTGAGCGGCTCAGGTAGAGGCAAAAAAGCTGGAAGCTGCACTTTACCGGCACTACAGCACATACCAGGTGCTTCTTTAAACTTGAGGGCATTACAGTGTATGCATTTATGACTCATAGTGCCCAGGGATACTAATTTATCGGTTTCATAAGCTATCTTTGGGTCATATTTCATCCTGGAAAAAGTTTTAATCTTCCATGGAAGCAATTGCCTTTCCGTTTGTTTTCCTTGATTTTTATGCTCATGTCTACGAATGACTGCTCTGTGAACCTCTGGATGACTTTGCTGGTAATGTGCTGCTGCTACTCTATGAACCTCGGGATTATTTTTTTTGTATTTAGCTGCTGCTGTTCTGTTAACTTCTGGATTCTTTTGTTGGTATTTAGTAGCAGCTTGTAAGAGCTTTTTTTCTAATTGTGTTCATAAATCTAGCACGGCATTTTTTAGTACGTTTCTCAAAGCTGGGTATTCTATCAGAGTTAACTGAATTAAAAATGGATGTTGACAATTCATCTTCATAAGGCAAATAAACATCAAAATGTCCATGAGACAGGTCTTGCATAGAATTAAAATGCAGTCGCTTCATGGGGTTTCCTTCTATACCAATTTCTCATACAGCTCGCCATTGTAGTAAACTTCGAAAGTTAACAGAAATATTTGTACCACTGCTACTAACTCGCATAAACCTCCATAAGTATGAAATTGTGACATATTATTGAAGTATTCGACAGAACTGCTATAATTATATCCATCACTGTCGAAAAATCATCCCAGTGACTCATCACGTAAGCCACTATTTCTGCACATACTTCTCTGGCCATCACTTGAGTGTCATACAAAACAAATGATATTGCTCTAAAGAGGCAAGCTCCATCGCTTATAATTGGAACAATGGTGTGGGGCGTCATAACACCATTTATATTTATTATTTCAACAACCATAGTTATTATGTAATTTATAACAATCTGAATATATAAAATTATTGCATTAAACATACTCCTTATTACTGAGAATCTTCTAATTCAATCGAACGTTTTCAATCTGACCAATTTTCTAGAACATTTGCAATCATTCTATAATCGAACAAATATGTAGTAACAAATTTGAATTTAAAATGGTTCGAACATTTGGTTAAAAATTCGTAATACGTAAATATTGTACATTTGGAAATTAAGTTATTACCACCAGAAACAAAAGATTGCATCTAAAATAGTACAGTAGAAGCCATTTTTCCTGTTAAGCCTTAATGCTCTCCCTCTCCCTTGCGGGGGAATTTTGAAAAATTCCTTCTTAGTGTGTGTTTTCGTGACGTACCCTAACTGTGTACCAAATTTCACCTCTTTAGGTTCAGCGGTTTGCTCTGGGCAATGATGAATCAGTGAGTCAGTCAGTCAGGACAAGCAATTTTATATATTTAGATTAAAGATGTGAAGGTCATGACACTAATAGATGTATTGAAGATTGTTAGCTAAAAAAGATTAGGAAATAATAAAATGTAAAATGCAAATGTAAATTTAAATGGTAAAACATAAAACACTGTTGGCATCTGTAATGACCTACAATAAAATGTTAGGAAGTAAGTAAAGTCAAATTTTTATTATATAACATGGTATAATCTTAATTTTTGTCTGAAAAAGTAAAATTATAGAAAACAGAGTCTAACTTCTTTATTACAATTATCAGAATAAAATATGAATATAGATTAGCAATCAATTTTGAGTATTTGTCTTTAGAGATTAATTAATGAATAAAATGATTGTCTTTTAAAAATTATTTGAGTACTTAAAGCAACAAAAAGCAAACCAAATGAACATTATTGATGAGTTTCTACTGTCCTGTTTCAGTAATGCATTAAAATCAATAACAATACAAATTTAAAAAGAATGAAGTAATCAACAAATAAATAATTTATTTTTTGATTTCTGATATTAATTCAAATCATCATTATGACATTGCTTTTATTGTTCAATTTTACTATAAACTTTAAGTCATAATGTAATAAATTTTTCCTCTTTTTTTGTAGTAATTAAAATAAAATAATTATATAAATTTCTAACAAAAAAATGAATGGTGAAATTGATTATTTCTCAAGAAATTTTTGTTTTAGTATTTTGTTAAAATTTAATTTGACCTATAATGTCTTTTAAGCAATTAGCCATTTTCTGATAACTTTATCATTAAAAAACACTCTGAACACTCTCACAGTGTAAACCAGTGTTTTTCAACCTGTGGGTCGCGACCCCCAGGTGGGTCGCAAAGCCATACACGGGGGTCGTGGGTAAAAGAAAAAGACAAGTGTTTTTAGGTCCTACACTACAATAAAAAAACTACAATTTCAGTGAGAAGGCTGTGCCTGTTTATTTTACAGTACAATTAGTTTTTTGATCGATATTTAAATCTCAACAGAAAAAAAATTAAATACTGTAAAAGAAAATCACTGACATAGTTTTAATATGGCCATGGGGGTCGCCAGAATTTTTTAACTTGTAAAGGGGTCGCGTATTCAAGAAGATTGAAAAACACTGGTCTAAACTATCATCTTAATTACTAAAACATAAAATTCCTCACCTGTACCAGCAAAATAACAGAAAAAAAAATTAACATTTTTTCCTATTTTATAGGCCATTATTAGGAATCATAACATTCAAATTCAGAAAACATTCCAACATGCAAATTTTAATTTGCATGTTGGAATGTTAAATTCAATGGAATGTTAAAAATTAAATTCAAAATAATTGACACAACTCATGACAGATAATGTCATATCATATGTAAAACTAACATAATTCCAGTCACAACCCTACCAATCACAAATTAATAACTGTACAATATCCTAGATGAGTAAAACACGGGTTTACATCATACTGGCAGAAAACGAGAGTTTAGAAAATAAAACAGCTTATGTAAGGTACACCAGTAGAAACCCGGCACAATGGCTGTACAAATATCACTCTGATGCCTGGAACTATCAAAGTAACAGTGTTAACTTGTTATAATAGTGCCAAGGATAGGTGAATGTGGTGGAACAAGGCTAGAGTAATCAGAAGTATCGAGTCACTCATGTATGCAGCAAGAATCAAAACAAATTGAGATTTATAGGCAGAAGATTAAGGATTCATGCTTAAATGCAAAATATACAGAGATTCTTCCCATAGCAAAGAAGTTTATTATATGTAATTCCAGGAAGAGTATCCAGTCTCAATAAATTGATTGGGCCTCACACATACTGTATGGTTATTAATTTTTTTATTGGTAGGGTAGTGTCTGCAGTTAATATCATATTATACATAAAACTAATATATCTGTCAAGAGTTACATCAACTATTTTGAATTTTATTTTGTATGTTGGAATGTTTTCTGAATTTGAATGTTTTAATTACCAACAACAACCTAGGAATAGGCTGAAAATGTCAGATTTTTTGTGATTTTTCTGGTACTGTTGTGGAATTTTATCTCTCTGAATCTCACAAACTAATAATTAGGCATTTCACAAAATTTTTTTGGAAATTTCTGTAATTTAATAAAGTGATAATTATTAGTGTTGCAACGAATAGTATATTCGGCCTCAGGCTGAATACAGAATATTCAGCCAGGAGCATGGCCGAATAGCTGAATATTCGGCCAAACTATTCAGCTTGATTAATGCACATATGAAAATTGGTGCGCAAACTGCATTATGGCAAGGACCCTGCTCTCTATTGGCCCGCTGTCACTACGCTTCGCCAATCGCGTTAATTCTTGACAGTTGTGGCGTACAGACAAGAGCGTCATGGCAGTATGTGATAAATGATGATATCAAATGTGGATAACAATGAAATGACCTACATGTGTAAATAACGGAAAAAGAACACAGAAGGACTGCGAAGTGAAAATGTGAAAATAAATATGAAATTGAGAATTGATAACATAATCGAACAAGTTGAGGCAGCTTATTGGCACGAAATTTGCGGCCGTCAATGCCAAACATTTGTTGTGATAGACTTCGGAGAGCTAAATGCTTGTAATAAAAGTCACTTAGCGTGCACGGGCAAAAGCCTGGGGTCGTTCAGGATACCAAGCTGTCTCGAATCTGTGAAATCATAACTGTGACTTATACCGATGTCCTATCTGTCTCTTTTCTCCGTTATCACCAGGCTATGAGTCATGTAATTGTAAAATGGGAAATCTACAACGGAAAAGTGATTAATAGAAAGTATCTTGAGCACGTATTATGATGTATGCATAGGCATATGTGGACTAGAGCGATAGAGGAAAGAGAAAGGTAAGAGCAAAGACGAGTGCTTAAAAAGAAGGATAGATAGGGTTGGACCCTCAGATATGCAACGATTCTCGAACAAATTGGTGTGTAGGTGTGCTGATCTTTGTAATTATAAATAGTGAATACATGTGACTAATATTATTTTCTTTTTTATTTTGTGCATGTTATGAGTTATAAATAAATATAAAAACAACACTAACCCGATAACATTAAATCTAAATACCAAAATGATTAATTTACTGTGTTTTTGTTATTTCTTACTCCCGTTTTTAGATATTTGGTATTCGACCGAATAACGAAAAATAGGCTGAATACCAAATAGTAACCGATTATTCGTTACATCACTAATAATTATCTGTGTGGATATTCATAAACAGAGTTAGCTTAATGGTAACTTGCTTCAAGGCAAAACCAATTTTTACCACCATAATAATTGCCAATTGAGAGCACTTATACTTCACTGCTCTTGTATGAACTATTACTAACAACTTTAATGTAAATTTACTGAATTTGGCTTATTATTTTTATTTATTTTCTTCCACTTTTGAACATTTTTGACAAATTACTTTGCCATCTCATCCATTGAGCCAATTTTTAGTTTTTCATTTTATAGAATTTTATAAAATAGAAATGTTATAAATTTTTTTTTCAAATATGCAAACAAAAAGTTTCATTTAGGGGATTACTTAATACTGTATTTGTTAACATGGAAATATTTATCTTAATTATAGTAATTGAATAAGTGAGAAAAATTTTTAAAATTTTATGAATTTTTAAAATAATTAACTTTTCTGATTTTCAGTTAAGAAAAAGCAAATCATTTTAACATAACAATTTTCAGAAACTGCAAAAGAATCTAAAAGAAAAAAAATTTAATAAAAGATTGATTGATTAAAATGATTGATAAAAAATTTAATGGGAACTTTTTATATCATTACAATGAAGATTCTCTTTTTTCCAATATTATATCAAATTGAATGACTGATAAACTAAAGCTCATAAATGTATGTTAATAAATCATTGTGAAAATAAATTTTAAAATCCAGAATGGAATTTGTTGTATATTATGAAATTGAAGACTAAACAGTTGCATTCCAACAGTTCAAAGTTTTCAATTTTGTAATTTACAATTTCTTATCATTATTAATTATGACTTATTTTATATTTAAAAACAAAATGTAATTTTTGAGGGAAAAAAACCATATGAAAAAAATGATTAAGATAATATCATATCTTTAATATGTTTGTCTAGACTCAGCCTACACTGAACGATACATGGGAACTCCTCAGCCTTTAGATAACTACCTTGGTTATGAAAGATCAGATCTTATAAAAAAAGCATCTAAGTTAAAAGGAAAAAAATTTCTTCTTATTCATGGAACTGCAGATGGTAAATATGTTCAAAATTATTTTTAAACGTTTAATATATTTACTAATATCAATAATCATTTTCATGTTAAAAATTAACTAAAAGTGTATCATATTTGTAGTTGAATTGTTTCTAAACTAATTTTTTATTTTTTGATAAATATATAAATTATATCTAATATTTTAAATTCTTCCAGATAATGTACATTTTCAGCATACTGCAATGTTTATTAAAGCATTGACAGAAGCTGGAGTGATTTTTCAAACTCAAGTGAGTATATTTTATGTTTCAAAACATTATTGAACTGTAAATGTTAAGTTAATTAGTCTAAAATTATTTTACATTATTTTCAGATGAAGCTATAGTAAAACTGAGTCTAATTGTTTTAGCATAAAAATGCATTATTATTTTAAAATGTTCCATTTATTTCTTTTTAAAAATTTGAATAATGAATTTTAATGCATTTTTCTAGCATTGCTACAGTAGCATGTTAATATTAACAAAAATAAGTACAGTACTCTAAAAATGTATAAATAATTCTAGAGATGTAGAGTGGCTTGTTTACAGCAAATGTTCAGCTTATTGCTGATGATAGAAACTTAAAAATACTAATAGTACAAAGATAAAATGAAAAATTAAATAAATATCCTATATAAATTCAGAAAATTAGTCATCACTGGAAATTTATTAGAGATCCAATTTTAATATTTAATTTCCTATTTCCATAAATATGAAGAAATTTTGCATAGCTCTTGTTAACAAGTTCTTTCTATGAAAACAATCTAAAAATCCAAAGAGACTGCAGAAAATGTTTTCAATTTCTGAAGTTCTCTCTTTTCTCAATAACTTGACATTGCTGTGAGCATTCATGGCCGAGTAACCATTCCAAAGGCATTAGTGTTGCTGCATAATGCTATGAAGCGACGAGTGGTGCCAAGACTACTGAAACTGGACACAACAGCAATGGGAACAGGTCATTTGGTCTGATGAATCATCATTTACATTATTTCAGACCACTGGATGTGTGTTCGTCTGGCAAACACAGGCAGAGGCATTTCATGTTGATTGTCTGGTTCCTACCTTGAAGCATGGAGGGGGAGTGATATCGTGGCATGGCTTAGGGCCACTTGTAGTCATGAGGGAGAAGGTCAGAAGTGAGCATTATCGCAGTATTCTCACAGATCATTTACACCCTATGTTTCATACTCTGTTTCCTGGAGAACATCCTCTATTCCAAAATGACAACACCCCTGTATATACTGCTCGCTGTGTTCAAACATGGTTGGATGAGCATAATGATGAAGTGGAACATCTGATGTGGTGTCCTCAGTCCCCTGATCTCAACATCATTGAGCCTGTGTGGGGTTTTTTAGAGAACAAAGTCTGTGCTCAATTTCTTCTTCCACGCACACTACCGAACTCGATACTGCTCTGCAGGAGGAATGGCTGCGAATTCCCTTAAACTTTCTGCACGACCTTTATTTCTCAATCCCATGTTGGATAAAAGCTGTAATTCAGGCTAATGGTGGCCCACCTCCCTACTAATAAATATTTTGCATTCTTTCACAGGTGTTCCTATTATTTTGTCCTATACCTGTATGTATAATGGAAATAATCAACAGACTTGTTGGGAAATTCTGAATCTATCACCATGGGTGCGTTCATTAATAGCGGTCGCTCTGAGTCTCCGTTTCTACAGGAGTGTGCTACTGTTTGTAGGCATTTAGGAACAACGGTGAAAGAAAGAAAGATGGTGGCGCCCACACTATCGATAGTATCGTGATGAACGAATCTATAATTCTAAAATATGAGCTTTTAAAGGCAAAAGAAGAGTCCAAATTGTAAAATTTAACCATAAAATGGATTATTTCTTGAAAGAGCATTCAAAATACCCACGAAAAAAATTAGAATGCCGGCTATTATTCGAAAAAAATTTGAAAAGACACTTACATCACCGCATGCACTAACTTGCGCTTTCACAACTTCTAAATTTTCATTCATAAAACCACATAATGGACCCCGAAANATAGGTTAAATCGAGACACGATTGTAGACCTGAACTTGTTAATTTAACGAAAAATTTATATCATTCCAACAACAGTACACCCCCACCGTTACGTGTGTACACAAAAACTTTAGAAATATACAGTGTACCTGTTTTTTGTATCCATACACCCTAATGGGAAAAATTTTAGTGGAGTATGTGAATGTTTACTTGTGATAAAAACACTCATGGTGATAAATGCATTTTGTATTGCATAATTTTTGTTGTATTTCATTGCAAAATCATGGAGTGAATGTTAAATTGTGGATTTATATCTTTACTTCAGGTCCATTTTCATATTGTTTAAAGTGTGTTTTAGATACATTCAAGTTTTACTTCATTTTTTAAATGAAATTTCGTATATCATTCTTTGTACTTTAATTATGAGATGGGAATGACTGACTGACTATTCCTTAAAACTAATACAGAATTTTGATAAGAGTTTGGATTATTGTAAGTTTGGTACTGCTCTTAAACTGTCATGTTTCGTATCCATGTGCCTCAAGCAAAGCCTTACTTTTTTCAAAACAAAAAAAGGGTTTTTCTCTACAATTTTATCAAAATAGTTACAAAATAATACTAAAAATTTATTGTATATGCAAAAGAATAAGTAACTGTACATTATTTCAAAAGTTTTAGATGAATTTCATTTTCTTTAAAGCATTTTCTGTCAATGATCTCATTATATGTACATAAAAAATTTTTATTATTATTATTATTAAATGTTAAAATAACTGTCAAAAAATTTGTTTCTTAACAATAATATATATTTTTATCCAGTTCAACTAATTAAATCAAAAGAAAACAATAAAAAGTTTTTAATATTAATACAAAAGTTTAAAATCTGCAATGTGTAAGCAAAAAGTACGAAGTTAAGGCAGATTTCAAATGACATATTTGAATAAATTGAATGTAATAGACTGTAAATGTTTAGTTATGTTTATATGTATAATATTTATTATATGAAATTTTAGAAAGGAATTTTTTTTAATTATATTTAATATATTTATTTAACTTTTCTCCAATATAAACAAATTTTAAAAATTTTATAGTCTACAAATTGCAAATTGCTCAAAAACAACATATGATATATGGTATATCTGTACCAGTTATGTATCATTGGATTATTGTTAAATGTACAATGGAAGAAGTATGTATGGAATTTGTTTGTAATTATTTTGTACACTATTGCTTTTCATGTATTTCATAATTATTGTGTATGTTCGATACATGATAAACAATATGAGATAACAGCTTTGCTTTGATATACTTGGATAAATTGTTGTAAAAATGGCAAAATTATTTGCTGAATTAGTGTTTTTATGCTTTATATATTTCTTCTTGGCAATGATCATAACCGTATATCAATTATGCATTTTTAAACCAGTCACACTTTTTATATAGATATACATCAATTTCTTGTAACTCATGATCTTTACTCTGATTTTTTTTTTTATGTTTTTATTTTCATCAAAATAAACCATTCAACTTTTTCAAACGTTCCATTTAATGTAAATAGATAAATACGAAACTTAAATGCTGTCATGGTTTTCATGAACTTTATTTGTCGACCACCGAAATAAACTCGCTATGTAAAATTTTTAATAAAAAAAAAATAAACCTATTGAATGTATTGTCATCATGAAAACACATCTTATGTACTGTGGGATTTAGTACATACAGTAATTTCTTATGTGTTTTGCATGCTTTTGCTAGGATGTGAGAGTTGTACTTTTATATGTACTATTGTTAATCATCGAAATTTGTGTACTAGTGTCCATGGATTTGTGTAGATCATAATATGGACATACCTGTATTGACTGGTCTTAGTATATGTGGACCAGATGTAATTATAGATTCTTGTAAGAAAAGTCAGTACAGTAATTTATTGTAATAAAGCAAAATGCATTGTACATAACTAGTTTGTCATGTTGTTTTTTTATTAATATACATAAAATTATGTAAAGGGATCTAATAATCTGTACAATTCTTGATTAAAAAGAAATACTTTTGAATACAAAAAGTATGGATTGTGCAGTTTGCAAATAATTTCATTAAGTTTTTTTTTAAGAATTCCTCTCTACAGTTCTATTTTAACTATTTTCCATCAATATAAAAAAAATTAATTTTAATTTTTGTTTGTGTAGTTTATTTTATAAAATGAAAATTGTTTTTTCTTTCATTTTTTTTATAAATAACAAAACTATTTAAATAATACAATACATATAAATAAAATTAAAACTGTTATAACTTAGGAAATAATTATCTTAAATTCAAATTTGGACTTGGGATGACCCTTAAACTAAGTGCTTAAGTTAATAATAATATATATTCTATACTTAAATAAGCATAATTAACATTTCTACTCTTTAATAAATTATTATAAACTATATTTAGTTCTATCCTTTTACCTTCCAGGCTGTTTTAACATGGGAAAGTATTGTAATCAGCCCAAATTTTTACTTTCTTGTTATTTTCCTGTCTGTTTTAACGCAACGCGAGTTATATTCCTGGTAGTTGTAATCGTGTCACATTTGACCCTCCAGGTTTTTGGAAATGTGATGTTTTGACACCCCTGAATCCAAATAAGTCAAAGCAAAAAAACAGAAAAAAAAAGTGTGAATATACGTGTTGGCATCTATTTCGTTTAATATTGCAGGATTAACAAACGAAATTTGGCATGGTAACTTGTAAATAAATGATATTGATGCTGTTAAATTTTGGTGGTTAAAGGTCGAAGGGGGTGGGGAGATAGATGGAGTCAAGTATATCTCGAATAGGATCGGACTTAATGAAAATTTTAATAATTATCGACATAATATTTTTAAAAACTCATCTCTACTCTCAAAATTGAGTCTTTTGCCTTTTTATATTATTATAACTTAATTATAACAAAACTTTTTTGTAATAAAATCTCATAACAGATGGCGCCACACAGTTTTATTTATTATGTTAATAATATAAAAGTTATACAGTCGACCCCCCTATAACACTGTTGATTATTCCGTTTTATATGAATTCCATGTTGTACGAGTCACTTAGATTTTACAAATACGTGAGCCGTTCACAGCCCGGCACACGTATTTGTAAAATCTAAGTGACTCGTACAACATGGAATTCATATAAAACGGAATAATCAACAGTGTTATGGGGGGTCGACTGTATTTTTAATGAAATCGAACAACAGCCAGGAAAGTTACTCGACTTGGATTTTTTTATGTCCTTT